ACTTTGCTTAGCATTGATTTCTGATATTTTCGCCACAGGTTTATGATGTTGACTATTTTTATTTTATTTTCCATGTTTAATTTGACTTATGTATTCACTTATATGGGCATCTTTGGTGTTAATGACTTGTTGAATAATGTCTCAGGTAGTGGCATACCTGAGACATTATTCAACAAGTCATTCTTTTCCTAATAGAATTGTTTAGTCTTTTTTGTTGTTGTTTTGTTTGTTATTTTTGGGTTTTTTTAGCGACATATCAACATCTCTGTGCGTCATTTAATGCCGAAACCCAAATATATTGTACACAATCTTGTTGTATTTTTGGAAATAATAATGGTTTATTGACACAGATCTTACGAATTAACCCATATCTGGGGGAAGAAGAGGTGGATTCATAATTTTTCCAAGGGTATTGGCGCATAAGTGAATATAAAGAAGCCAACTGGAATTGAAACTCGGATCTCCGATTAAAATGCTGAGCCATTAGACATTACATCAAAGGAATGTCCAAACTTTCAGCACTTAGTATTCATAAGCGATCATACATCTAGGTACTGACCAGGCGCGACGTTGCTTAACATCGGTGATAACAAATCATTTTTGTAAAGATTAAAACGTATACTTATATATATATTCTATTGTTTGAGTTTCAGCTATATATATATATATATATATATATATATATATATAGACTGCGTGCCAAATTATTATCGAGATAATTTTTCCAATATTACAAAAACCGTCAAATCAATTCACACAAAATTTTCACACAATGTTGGCAACACTGACCTGCGCAATCATTGACATTTTCGTAATGATCTGCGCAATGTTAACAAACTGGCGCCATATTGGTTATCAGCACGGTAATTTGAGTGTGACAAATTATTAGAAAGGTCTAGTAAAATTCCCAGAATTGAGCAAACAAAACGTTTATTAATGTTGCACGTGAATGTTTATGATCAAATGAAGCCAATAAATAAGATAATCAAACAAACAATAACAGATACAAACAAAGGCACAGTTTTAATCAAATTAATATGGAATGTGCTTTCACTGTTTTGAAATTACTTGAAAAAGTCGACTTTGTTAATTGTAGGATGCCATCTGCTGTAATGCCGCGAGATATGTCAAGAATTGCTTCGCACAACTCAGCGTTGCTTCTGAATTGTCATCCGTTGGTGTACTGTCTTACCTTCATGATGCTCCAAAGGTTTTCGATTGGGTTCAAATCCGGAGAATTTGCTGGCCACTTCATTTTTCGAGATCCATCGAAGCCTAACTCTTGCAAATATTCAGTAGTCTTGTGAGCAGCGTGTGAGGGAGCATTATCTTGCATAAAAAGAATGGCCCATCTGAAGGGAACTCTTTACCTTTTTCATCCACGGTTCAAGATGCTCCTTCATAAACGCTATGTATGCATCAGCAGTCATTTTGACGTCATCTGGTACTCTCCATGGGCCCACTAATGTATTTCCAATAATACCACCCCAGATCATTATGCCTCCACTGCTTTGTTGGCGTCTCAAACACTGATGGCGATTCTGTCCATTCATTACCCAGCCTTTGCACCATCTATCTGCCCCATCAAGTGTTGCTCGAGTTTTGTCTGTGAACAAAACTTTAGAGAAGTTAATCTTCATATTGTCCTCGGCCCATTTCAATCGATTTTGAATGTGATTTCTCGTCAACGGAGGCTTCGATACAGGTTTGACTGTTGTTGCTATTTCCCTCAGATACCGAAACCGAGTACTTTTAGACACAGTAGGATCCCCAATGCAACTGAAAAGCGCTTGGCTGGTATGTCCAGGGTTCTTTGTGGCACCTCGTTTAAGTCGTGACATGAGACGACGTGAAATAACCATTGGCTTGCCTTTATCTGCCCTTTTGCGTACGTGTGTGGGGTCGGCGGTGAACTTTTTCGCTGTTTGATGACACCTCCCTATCATTTTAGAGATTTCTAGGGTAGATTTACCTTTTGAGAGTTCTAAGGTAAAAGTTTTCTTTTCAGCATCACCTAAGCTGCTTTTACGGCCCATCTTTTCACTAAAGTCTTATACTTTTCTAATAATTTGGCACGCTCAAATCACCGTGCTGATAACAAATATGGCGCCAGTTTGTTTACATTGCGCAGATCAGTACGAAAATTTCAGTGATTACGCAGATCAGTGTTGCCAACATTGTGTAAACATTTTGTGTGAAATGTTTGGACGTTTTTTCAAATATTAGAAAAAAAGTTATCTCGATAATAATTTGGCACGCAGTGTATATATATATATATATATATATATATATATATATTGGTTGGATTAATGTGAGTTTGTGACCCTGGGTTTCACGCTTTTGCGATCGTCAGAGAAACTGATTAACTTTAAAATTACCGCGCATATAATATATAAATAATAATATATATATATAACATATTATATATATATATATATGTGTGTGTGTGTGTGTTTATATTTATATACACACTCATTTATATATATATATATATATATATATATATATATATATATATATATATATATATATATATATATAATCGTAATCCGTTGGTATAATCCAGGCGAGTTCTATTAACACAACATAGAATTTGAAATATGTTAAAACTCACAAAAGCGCTCTTAATGTTTATTTTCATTAAACAGAGCAAATTTTCTTTGCAATTGGAATTAAGTTACCATTAGTTAATGACCATTTTCACCTAGGAATTTTAATATTTCTAACCAGTATCCTACTACAAACTGATACCATAAACAGTTTGAAAAATCCTGCGAATTTTAAAACTCCCTTTTTTCCCCTTTCGAGAGATATATACCTCCTTCAATCCCCACCCTACATAACCACGAACCCCTGCTGCCACTAATTTAAACCTGTCTCCTCATAAACATGTGCGCATAAATTCAAAATAATAATACTGAATTCTTCTTATATATGGAATATTTGTCCACGCAATTATTTGTATGAACATGTTGATCTCAGGAATTAGAATTGAGGTTTGATTTTAACGAAATTATAGCCATTATGAACCCTTAAAGTTGTCTGTTTCTTAATATAATTAATATTTGCTCTGTTTTTACATTGAGATCTCTGGATTATATCCTTCCTGGAATTATCCATACGGATTACAAAGCATATATATATATATATATATATATATATATATATATATATATATATATATATATATATATACTAGCAGTAGAGGCCAGCGTTGCCCGGGGATATAACAAGTAAGAGATAGATCAAGTATCCACCATCGTAAAGACTGAAAAATAAAATTGACAAAGATTATTGTTTAAGGTTGACGGACACGCATGTCTTAATTAGTTTTTTTTTTTTTTTTTTACGAATTGGTCAAACCCAAACTCAAACAAAACATTGTTTTCAATCGTTATGAGTCTCCTGATTGACTAGAATAATTTTATAAACAATTGTCTTGTAAATGGAATTTTTAAAGCATTCTGAATGTTAAAAAAAAAAAAAAGTGTGCAAGAGAATAAGAAACACTACTGCCAAAAAAAAAAAAAAAACAGTGAAGTTTTGTTTTATCGGCTGAAAAATATAGGAAATCCGCTCCCATATTTAAAGGAACCCACACACACAAACAACCCGATGTGATTTGTCCCCCTTCCATTTTCACGATGTCTCTTAATCGTGTTTTCAAATTGATTTTGTGCAAAAACAATTATATTTTCCCCATTTTTGGCGCTGCTAGAACCACAACAAGGTAATTTTATGTAGTCCTGTGAAGTTTTGTTGAAATCGGTTGAAAAATGTAGGAAATCCGATCCAATATATAAACGTTACAGACACACACACACGCACACACAATCTGCGTTTTATAATAAGTATGATGATGCGATGTAAACGAAAGTTATATATAAATTCTAACGTTCGCAGCATTAATCCAAAAGAGGGTTCGATACCGATAGTAGAGCGATAATTATTTATTTATTAAAATTCTATCCTATAGACAAAACCATTTTACTCACTTCAACGATGCAACTTCGTTTTAGTGTATTTGAAAGATGCAACTTCTTTTTTCATATATATATATATATATATATATATATATATATATATATATATATATATATATATATATATATTAGTCATGTTTATTACTTAATTTCATCCAATACAATGATTGGGTTCTACTCAAGGTTGAGGTTAACAAACGAAAAACAATGATGAATGAATGTGATGTGAATGGAAGATATGATTTTACAAATTGAAAACTCTAGGAATAAGGATCGTTACATTTATATGAAAATCTCCATCATATAATTAGTAGTTTATACAGCTGGAGGCTAAACTAATCCTAACATTTGGTTTGGAAAGTTATTCTTTGAATATTAGCGCAACTTCACAGGGGGCTTTCTCCCTGGTAGTACCACTCCCCCGAGAAGAGGCTGGTTTTATATGTTGAATATAATATGTCAGCTTTTTTTGCTGAATTTTACTAAATCTAGTGCTCGAGAGCCATTTATGATAAATTATTTACAGCCAAAAAAGCAATGATGCACGGGGGGTATGTGATATGAATAAATGTGGAGATTATGAGGATAAAAATGTCAGATAACAATTGATCTTTAATTGAAGATGTCAAGGTTGACGCCTTGTTGGGAACAACTACGCAATGACGGGTCACTAAGGGTCGATTCTATGGAACATTTGAGTGGGAATTTTATTTTTGAATTGAGACCCTGGAGGAAATGAGAGTGATTTGACTTTGTGGATTAGCTGTAAAGGTTTGAACTGGTGGAAGTAAAGAATGAAGTTCATCTGAACATTCGCCATGGAAATAGCGATAGTTTAGCGATGGGATTGTAATGTTTCTCATGCCAGAAAGAATCTGAAGATTGGAAAATAACCCTTTCTATTCAGGCTGGTTGGATAAAAAGGAATGAGTAAATCCAGTCCGGATATCGTAGCATTGCTTCATTTTTGATCTAACTTGATTTTTATGAAGATAAAATAGCACATTTATTTGATCAATGTCTTCTTCTCCTTCTTCTTCTTCTTCTTCTTCTTCTTCTTCTTCTTCTTCTTCTTCTTCTTCTCCTCCTCCTCCTCCTCCCCTCCTCTTCTTCTTCTTCTTCTCTTCCATCTCCCCTTCTTCTTCTTCTTCTTCTTCCACCTTCTTCTTCTTCCACCTCTTCTTTATCTTCCTCCTCTTCTTCTTCTTCATCTTCTTCTTCATCTTCTCCTCGAAGGCGTGGGCAATCATGTCTATCCACTCTTTCCTAACTAAAGTTTCTCTTTTCACTATCGAACCCAGTTCCTCTCCTGTCATACATTTTCATAAGTTGTTTCACTGTCTATGCTATTCTCAGCATCCTTCTGTAGAACCGCATTTCTGTTGCTTTAAGTCTCCTCTTCATCCATGAAGAAATTGCTTGGTATTCATTGCTTTATAGAAAGATTGATATTACATATCAATTCAGCTTTCATCTTGTTTTTTTAGATCCTGTAATCTTAGATGTGTGAGTTGTGTAATGGATAATGGCTCGGAATTGTTAATCAGTGAGTCAAGTTCCAATTCCAGTTGCGTCCATTATATTCACTACGTACAAAGACCCTTGGGAAAGATCTTAATTCACTTCTTTTCCCCTAGCTATGGGTTAATTAACAAGACTTATCAGCAAATAATTATCTCCCTAAAATACGTACAATATAATCAAATGTTTTCTGGCTTTAGATTGACTGCAAAAATTCGTTAAGCCGTAAAAATCAAATCAGTCATTAAATAAATTGCTTCATTTTACCGCATATGAACAGACGTTGTTTATTTTTATTTTATTTTTTTAGCTTGAAACTAACAATATGAATCTTTCGAAAAATCACCAGCTGGTCATAATTCAACAGCAAAATCAAAATGGAAGGTTCACATTAGAAGGATTCCTATGTTTGACTTCATCGGGCAATATCCTTGAACCACTTTTCTCTACCCGCAGATATTTCTCACCCTTGCCTCAGTTATTCTCGTTCATTCCTGTCTCAATTGTACAGTATGCTCAGCACGATCACTCGTTGTGCGCATGCGCTGCTATTTGCTAGGTGACGTTGTCATGTGACAGGTAAATTGTGACTTGCGCTTTCGTGATAAAGCTTTCTTTTTCTTTGGTTAATTCTTCATTTTTATTTTTATTTTGATGACAGACCTTTTTTTTTCTTTTTTTTTTTTTTTCTGAGGGAGAGAAAATGAAACCGTGAGCGAACGTGAGCTTGCTTCGCAAAGAATAAAGCCGGGATTCGATGTCGGAAAACAAAAACAAAAACACACCGCTATTTTTCATGACACATTCATACGATTATACACACTTGGTGATTTACTCGGATTTTTCTTTGGTCCTTACCACTTTCGACCGACTATTCCCTCAAAAGACGAGTAGATTTTATGTATTCTTTAGCGAAGTAAATTATCTATTTATTTATTTTTAAATTGTAGCTATAGAAAGTTAAGTTCGTTTTGCCAACTGTTATTCCTTACGGAAACAATAAGGTATTTGTTTTTTAATTTTAATTCTTAGAAAAAAAATAACACTTTTTCAACATATTTTATTCATTAGCAGCAACGATTTTTTAAAATAGCAAAAAGGGGTTTGGGGAGAAAATAGTTTATCTAAAGATAATCGGTTCGTGTTTAAACTTGCGGACATATAGATTTTGGAAAAAGTAGACGCTTTTTATGTGACAACACATTAACAACAACATTGACAACTGCTTCAGGTAGCTTCCCTGTGCCTTTTCTATAAATATCGTCATGTTAATTGTTCTGAGGTGTCATCTTTCGTATCTCCTCTTCATTAATTTAATCATACTACGGCGTTGGCGGCAAGGTCATATCATTTCACAGTTGAAATGGCTAGATGCAAACGTATGTTCTGTTGACGTTTTATTCTATCGCAATTTTCACCTATGTCTCTTTCTTCCGGTTTTAAAATCACCACAATCTATTTCTTTCAAAAAATTTCCATACTCATGATAATAAAAAGCAATATTATTGAATATTTACTCCTCTGTAAGACAATCTTTTTGTGTTATATATCCTGCTATATAAAAAAAAAGTGACATTTTAATATCTTTGGGGATACCAGTTTCTTGGTCTGGCAGGTGATCAAATGTTTGGCATACCAGAGTATAGTCATGATCTAGGGCATAATTGCTTAAAATGTGAATATCTGTTGAACGAATATCCAACAGATATTCATATTTTGAGCAATTATGGCCTGGATCATGGTTATAATCTCTAACATCAACTTTCAATCGACGAAGTAATTTTGTTTTTTGAATAAGAAATTTCTTGATAATATTTCGTACTGTAATAAAATAGGTACCACAAGAATGTTGTCTGAATTTCACAATTTCAGTTTCAAGATAGTTGGTGGTAAATTCTCCAAGAATGACAACTGAACCCACTCTCAAGTAAATGTCTTCAAACATCAATGAAATCATTCATGTCTCTTCTGAAAGACTATGTTGTCTTTACTTATTTTCTCCTCAACTGTTTTGCCATACCTTGAAAATTAAAAAAAAAAAATCAAATTTCCAACATTTCGGTTTGATATCATCCTTTTCAGTAAATCCTTTGTCTTGGCATTTCCATAACGATCTTTTATTCACTGTTTTCCAAATTTTCGAAACTTCTTTGATGTTCAAAAAATTAAATGCAATGTAAATCGTTATATTCTTAACCCGTGTTGTTCATTGTTCTCTTTTCTTAATGGTGTTTTTTTTTTTAATTCTATTTCCTAATATTCAGTAACCCCTTTGGTTTTAGTGGCTTTATAACCTTGCTTGGGGTAAAATTATTAAAACAAATTATAGTAATACCATTTAGGAAAAATAAAAGAGAAAAATAATGGGTAAGCTTATCTTATTACCGTATTTGCTTGAGTATCTCCAACATTTCACTTCATTCACGTGTAAATAATTATAACTAAATCCCCAACTTTGTAGGGCTTTCTTTTGTTAAAGAACATTTCTCTAAGCCTACTTTCTTATTCAGTCTATTACATGTAAGTGTCTAATGGTCATACTGTCTTGCGTATGATTATAATGTCTTATGTACAATGTAAAACATGCACTAAAACTATGAAAGAAAACTATATTCGATGTTTTTTTGATATAAGAAATTGAAGCGAAGTTTTTTGAAGCCGCTGGAGAGTGTATGAGACAATAGCCGTCAGGTGATGCAAAAAACTAAAAAAAAATCCCATTAAATACGATTGTTAGCAAAAGAGAGTTAGCTTAGCATCAGTCGTGGTGGTCGAATTTTCCTGCTAAATTCATTATCATAAAAAAATGTCCATTATGAAATAAACAACATCAATTATCTCTTATTTATTACCAATTAAATTAATAAGGAGTGAACTCCGCTCTAAATGAGACGATAAATGTCACCCAATCAAATTAGGTATGGTTACACGAAAGAACAAATAAAGAAAAATAAGGAGTTGAATGCTTTCATGGTGAACTCTATAAACGAAGGGTGCTGAAGAGTAATATTCCAGACCGACATTGGTGATCAAAATACATTCAAACTTTTGATCAATTGTTCAAATTTTTGATCTATCTATCTATCTATCTATCTATCTATATATATATATATATATATATATATATATATATATATATTGAGAGAGAGAAAGAGAGAGAGAGAAAGAGAAAGAGAGACGTATCTGTATGTGGGTTAGGGTGTTTAGCCACTCTATAAAAGAGGGGGTGCTGAAAAGTCGAATGCAAGACCGACACTGGTTACCAAAATACATTCTAAATTTTGATCAATTGGTCAAATTTGTGATCTATCTATCTATCTATCTATCTATCTATCTATCTATCTATCTATATATATATATATATATATAGAGAGAGAGAGAGGGGGAGAGACAGCGAGAGTGAGAGATCTGTTTGCGTGTTTAGCAACTCTATAAACGAGGGGGTGCTGAAAAGTCATATGACGGACCGACACTGGTTACCAAAATACATTCTAAATTTTGATCAGTTGGTCAAATTTGTGATCTATCTATCTATCTATCTATCTATCTATCTATATATCTATCTATCTATCTATATATATATATATATATATAGAGAGAGAGAGAGAGAGAGAGAGAGGAGAGACAGAGAGAGTGAGAGATCTGTTTGCGTGTTTAGCAACTCTATAAACAAGGGGTGCTGAAAAGTCATATGACGGACCGACACTGGTTACCAAAATACATTCTAAATTTTGATCAATTGGTCAAATTTGGATCTATCTATCTATCTATCTATCTATCTATCTATATATATATATATATATATATATATATATAAAAGAGAGAGAGAGAGAGAGAGAGAGAGAGATAGATAGATAGATAGATAGATAGATAGATAGATAGATAGAAGTATCTGTGCGTGTGTTTGTGTGTCGAAAAATTCACATAGGGTATATCTGAAAAAGACAATGTTAATAATGGCAAAACGAAAACTTATCTAAGCCGTCGGGTTTCCTTTTCTGAGGGACTTGATCAAGACAAATATAAGGACTTTTTTCTGTGGCAGGTTTATTTGACATTGAATTGTATCATCTTACCTCCATGAACTTACCTGAATGTGTCCGTAAACCTTATGAATTTGCGTGTGCACACAAAAATTTTGAAAATAAAATCTTTGCCCTTTTATATAAAAAAAATTCACAAAATAAAATCCTTACATTTGCCTTAATAGATCGTCTCAGAGGACGAAACGCGTTGGCTAAGATATGTTTTCCTTTTGCCTTTATATATATATATATATATATATATATATATATATATATATATATATATATATATATATATAAAAGGCAGGATGTGTGTGTAACGAATGCACGGCCGCAATTTTCAACGGATTTGCACCAAAATTACATGCACATGCTCCACGTTAGTGAGAAGGTCAAGATCGACTTTGCATTTCCCAACTCCCATCGATAGTGGAAATAATTGATTTTTTCATGTTTCTACGGCAGTTTTCATGTAGTTTGCGACCATTTTGTACTGGCCAGAGTGAGAGCCAATAGCGTGCTGCCACGAATAGGCAGGACGATTCTATTGGCCAGCGTGAGAGCCAACAGCTGACTGACACGAATGTTAACTAACAAGCTAGCATGCAAAAAAATCGATAGCTGCATTCGTCACAAGTGGGAAAAAATTAAATCTGCATGGCACTTTACTCCAATTGACTCATTCGCTTGCTTAAACTCAACGTTGATTCTGATTCTGCAGAACTGGGTTGGGTGTGAAAAAGTATTTGTTGTTAACATTCTTTTTTCATTCGGTTTTCCAGTTACGAGTCCTTTTTTAAAGCTGATCGTTTTGTGTTCATTTTGTTTAGTTCTTTTTTCGTAAGTGATTTAATGTTTAGTATAGAGCTGACATAAAATTCGCAGTGTGAGAATTAAGGCATGTAGCAACGTCAGCACAGCAAAGGGCACTTCTTTAAAGGCAAGGAAGGGCAAAAATATTTTAAGTCAAGTGATAACGATTGCTGTATGAGTCGTACGATTTTTGAATCAAGCACGGGCAACGCCGGGCGATGCTGCTAGTATATATATATATATATATATATATATATATATATATATGATGATGATGATGATGATGATGATGATGGTGGTGGTGGTGATGATATTACCACCCGGAATAAAAATTAATTCGGTCGAGCACTGTAAAAACGGTGTCCTAAGGAAATAAATTTTAATCCCATGAAGCCAAAAATTTCTCTGTTTCTCAAGATAATTAATATTTGCTCTGTTTTTACATTGAGCTCTTTGACTTATATCCTCCCTGAAATTATCCATACGGATTACTAAATAACTTCATTAACTAACTAGATAGATGAGAACCAGAATATGATAGATAGATAGATAGATAGATAGATAGATAGATATGAAACAACATAAAAAAGAAATAAAATAATATAGATATATAGTGGACAGAATAAGATGGATAGATAGATAGATAGATAGATAGATAGATAATGAACAGAATAGGAATAGATAAGAACAGGATATCATAAATAATGAACAAAAATATATATATATATATATATATATAGAGAGAGAGAGAGAGAGAGAGATAGACAATATATGTATATATATGTGTGTGTGTGTGTGTGTGTGTGTGTGTGTGTGTGTGTGTGTGTGTATGTGTGTATACTTTATTTGTTTAAACGTTATTCTTAATGGATACTTATATCTGAACAGTTGCTCTGTTTTTATTATTAAACAGTATATTTATTTATTTACCTCTTCCGGCCTGAATATTCGAGAAAATCTTGTTAGAAAAATAAGCGCCATACAGAAGGATTCGAACCTCGGGGAAAACCGCGATTAAAACCGTCAAATTAAAATTTAAAACCATCAAGTTTGCAATATATATCGGAATTAATCCATTTCCTAAAAAAACTTGTTTAGGTTAGGATACAAAACAGAGCAGTTCGAGAATCGGGAAGAATACAAAAGGACTATTTGAGCTTTGCTTGAATCAGTAGGTCGTAGGTGGTCGAGAGGTCAAGGTATGTCGGATTTAGTGACGATACATCGAAAGCAAGAATAAGAACAAGAATGAAGAGTAGTAGTAGTAGTAGTAGTAAAAGAAGAAGAAGAAGAAGAATGAAGAAGAGGAGAAGTAGTAGTAGTAGTAGTAGAAGAAGTACAAGAAGAAGAAGAAGAAGAGGAGTAGTAGTAGTAGTAGTAGTAGTAGTAGAAGAACAAGAATGAAGAAGAGAAGTAGTAGTAGTAGTAGTAGAAGAAGAAGAAGAACAAGAACAAGAATGAAGAAGAGGAGAAGTAGTAGTAGTAGTAGTAGAAGAAGAAGAAGAATGAAGAGGGGGAGGCGTAGAAGATGAAGAAGAAGAAGAAGAGAAAGAAGAAGAACAAGAAAAACAGGAACAAGAACGAAGAGGAGGATGCGTAGAAGAACAAGAAGAAAAGAAGAATAAGGAAGAGGAGGAGGCGTAGAAGAAGAACAAGAACAAGAATGAAGAAGAGGAGAAGTAGTAGTAGTAGTAGTAGTGGTGGTAGAAGAAGAAGAAGAAGAATGAAGAGGAGGAGGCGTAGTAGAAGAAGAAGAAGAAGAACAACAACAACAACAACAACAACAACAAGAAAAAAACAAGAACAAGAACGAAGAGGAGGAGGCGTAGAAGAAGAAGAAGAAGAAGAAGAATGAAGAGAAGGAGACGTAGAAGAAAAAGACGAACTTTAGATTTTGAGAGAATATAAAAAAAACATTAACAATGTTATGAGACTAGAAAGAATGATATGAAGAAATGATGGTAAAAAAAGTAAAGAACAAAACTAAGGAACGATTCTGATGAGAAAGAAAATAAGAAAGAAAATTTTTTCTAGTTCCACGTGCCATGCCTCTTCCGGATACCTCAGTTATTTCCCTCATTGACACATGGCCCAGTGGATAAAGACGTTTGTTAGATTCAGTGAATAGACCCAAAGATTTGTGAGTTCAATAATATGACCATGAAGATGAGGATAGCAGTCTGAATAATGTAAATAATGCATGTAATCATAATACCTCATCTCAGAGATATAGAGGCCGAAATGTTGTGAATATGGCAATGAAGATGAGGATAACAGTCCAAATAATGTAAATATTACAAGTAATCATAATACCTCGTCTTAGAGATATAGACAGATATTAAAGAAATGAAACATAAAAATGCTGCGCTTTTGAATAGCACAGTAAGTTGCTAGAAAGGCAAAAATATTATCCTAAGAATTCAAGTTATCTGCGTAACAAGTTTCGTTAGATCAAGGCTTTTATATATTATGCATAGTGCGAAACTTGTTCAGAAAAATATCTTAACTATCAGTCGATTTTCGAACTGTGGAATTGCACTCAATTTGAAAGTTAAGATTTAACATGAAAAATAACTATACAAAATGTGTTTTTCCAAATCTTTAGCTTTTTTTTTTTTTTGATGAGATGAAGTCAACGGTTAAGTTTAGATTATGTTATATACCTTACCTGTGAAAACTAATGGTATATCCCATTCTTCATAAATACGTTGGACGCTATTGCAAGCAGGGTTAATATGCTGTCTAAGTAGTCCACAACTATCAGTGGTTTACCTATTTCATGCCGCTGGCGAGTATTGTATTTTGTTGATGTTATAAAGATTACCATTTCATTTCCAACCTCCGTTTTGGTTATTCGTCATTCAGTAACCCTTTCTAGGTTACAACACTTTCTTTCTTTCTTTCTTTCTTTCTTTCTTTCTTTCTTTCTCAGTCTGTTCATATCTATCTATATATGTATATTTCTTTCTTTATTTATTTATTTGTCAGTCTGTTCATTATCTATCTATCTATCTATCTATCTATCTATCTATTGATATATTTCAGTTTTTTCCTATCTATCTATGCATATTTCTTTCTTTCTTTCTTTCTTTCTTTTATATACTGTACCTATGGATACTAAGGGGGATGTCCCAATCCTCATAATTATGTTGGTCTAAGTAGTCCACCACTAGCAGCATAAACCTGCGAAAAAATCCGTACATTCTTTCAGATGATGGCTCAAAAATTGCTGAAAGCTTTGAATCTAACTTTTAGTGTCAGTCCATATCACATCAAATAGAAGTTTTCACATCGACTTCAGTGTTGAAAGAAACCTCCCCTCATAGACAGGTGGAGGGTGCACTCGATTTCTGTCAAGCCTACGAGAAAATAGAGACACGTGAGTGACACGAAAAGTAGAGATTGTGGCACAAGCCGTAAGAAGAGACCTCCAGATTATTAACCCAGCCTTTATAAAGTGGGATAACGAGCCAACACAAATAAATGTTCTGTCATTATCATACTTATGAGAAGGCACGGTGAAGTAAAGGATAGCGGCACGGATTGAAGAAAGAGAGCCGAGTTCGAATTCCAGTCGAATCAATCACATTTACTTACGTGCTAATGCCCTTCGGAAAGGTATGAACCTTCTTCTTCTCCTTTATGGGTAAATAGCAGAACAGACCGGGTTCTATAGCCTTGAAGAAGAGAGAAATGGCAATCTACTACAGGAAAAAAATATGCCTCGTCATTTATGTATCGAAAGATACATGATCGCCTAAGCGTGTATCACGCATGGAACATAACTGACACGAAAAGTAAGAAGAGACCCCCAGATTATTAACCCTACCTTTATAAAGTGGAAGAACGAACCAACAGACATAAATGTTCTATCATTATCGTACTTATATAACAGAGGAGTAATGGATAGCGGCTCGGATTGAGGAATCGGAGAGCCGAGTTCGAATTCCAGTCGAATCAATCACATTTACTTACGTGCTAATACCCTTCGGAAAGGTATGAATCGTCTTCTCCCTTATGGGTAAATAGCAGGACAGACTGGGTTCTATAGCCTTGGACAAGAAAGGAATGGCAACCTACTGCGGGAAAAATCTGCCCCGTCAGTCATGTATCGTAACTGACATGAAAAGCAGAGATTGTGGCACAAGCTGTAAGAACAGACCACCAGATTATTAAACCTACCTTTATAAAATGGAACAACGAGCCAATACAAATAATTGATCTATCATTATTAGCATATTTGTCAACGAGTGATTCAAAGTTTAGAACATTTCAAACCGCTGTCAAACAGCGGAACCACGAAAAATAAGTGTAAACATCTGTTACCAACAACTAAAATAAAATAAAATAAGGTATTATGGTCTTCGTCATTACCACCAGGCTTCAATCATTCTCCGAGCACAGCCTTTTTAAATTTATAATTTACTGACGATTTATAAAATACATATGGACAAGATTCATTTCACAAGGACATTATTACTAAATCATTGTGCCATCAAATATGACCTTTATTTACGTCAAAGGGAAATCATACTAAATAATTTAGCTGTATTATGATGCAATAGGTTATACAGTGCAGTAGTTTTAGTGTGATTCTTAATAAACAATGCAAATTTAAAACATTTATCAAAGAAAAATATAAATAGGGGTAAATTGTA